CATTTTTTATTGTTCAAAGGGAGGAAAGGTGTCTGAGCCATACATACTGTGTATAAACCATTATATTGGTGTCAACTTCATATTATTTAGTTTCTGAGAACTCTGGCTATTTGTGAGTACAGTTAGTGGCGGCAGCAGCTAGCTGTAGTACTTCTGGTGCAGTTTGGGGCACCTCAACCATAAATATCACCATATTTGATAACCAAGTGATGCAAAATTGTAAACAATGTAAAATGTTTATTAATCATGAAATATGTTGGATTAGAGTTATTGAAAGCAGCATCCATTACATCATAARCTAGCTCTATTTCTTCAAATTGAGACTGTTCAAGTAGCTATCTACAACAGGTAAGATGTTCATTGTTTTTAACTTTTGAACAGAAGCCCATTTCAAAGTATCTAGATTATCCCATTAGTTTAAGCAGCCTTACACCTTATCACTTTTTTTCTTCTCTTTTCTTTTTCTTATTTATAAAAAAAAGTCATTGATGATGAAGAAACAAAGAAACTATATTCAGTTTTGCTTTCTACTGAAGTGGCTAAAAAAATTAAAATCATGGGCTTGGACAAAGGCTGGTCATTAATTATAAAAATATATTTAAATTGATCTTAGATTTTCACAGTAACGTCAAATTATTCATATACAGTTTCATTATAGAGTTTCATTAGTTTCATTATAGAGACCATTTATGAGACCTGATATGTCTGGGTACTGCAGCCTAGTTCTAATTTGTGTTGGTGAAATTGTGATTTCAAAATGGTGATTTTATTACAAGAGATATTAATGCTGTTGATTTGTGTTTGTCTATTAATTTAGACTTTTGTATGACTTGTAAATGCTGTTGCTCAGTAATGGTCTAAGAGCGGTGAATTTTAAACTTCCTAAAATGTTTACTTATTTTGTAGCCTGGTTAAAACCAGACCCTGTCCTTCACTTTGCTTCGTACAAAGGTCTGGACTTGATACATAGAGAATCGTTTCTTGCAGGAGGCATGGCCTCTGCTGAAGCATGTGTGTGTTGTCGGTGTGAAGGAGGCTAAGCTAAGAAGCTAACCGGAAATCTTATGTGCTGTAAAAAACCCTACTGAGAGGAGAGAAGTACCGAGTCGAATGAGATGACTGTAAATGAGAGCTGCTGCTTTGTCAGACAAATTTATTTTAATTTGGAAGTCTTATCAACACAGACTGGCTTCATTC